TGCGTGAGGAGTCGTCGGTTGGGCACGCGCTTCATTCTCAGCAGTAGCTTGAGCAACATAATTGGTCAAACGACGAGATCCTTTAAATCCCACTGAACCAGAAGAGGACCAAGATTTGATATCTCCAAAAGAATCTGTTATGGTAATTATAGTGTTACTTAAAGTTGGAAAAAAAAAAAAAAAAAAAAGATTGACTATAAGCAATACCGTGTTTTGTTTGCATGACATTTTTTTATGTTATTTGACTTTGCAAGTATGATAAGATGCATAACGATGACCCAAAAAAAACGACAACTCTGGGTCTGTGCATGTTTTCTTTCATCTGTTTTAACCTTTGGTAATTGCTCCTTGCTTATCTCCTCAAAGTTCAAACTGCATGCATATTAATTTTGTCTTTTGTACATAGCATATTCCTGCGTAGCACGGTGAACATGTTCGCGACCCTTCGCGTTTCTCGCGAACGGCTCACGAATGTGTTCGGACGAACATAATTTTTTGTTTGTGAAAAAAAAAAAAAGGTTTTTTTTTTTTTAAAAGTTTTAACTCACGTTTGGCTAAGAATTTGAACATAACTCCAAGGGAAAAGTTCCGTGTATTCTTGTTTTACATGACCTATTTTTTTTCCAGATGTTTCTGACAACTGTTTTTTTTTTTAAATATTTTTTATGTTCGCGTTCGGAGGGTTTTTTGACTTCGGGCGAACATGTTCGAGTTTGCGTCTGAACGTGAACACCATGCTACGCAGGCGTATACCATGAAATGTGACCTGGTGCCCCCCCACCCGTCCCACACCACCACACACACACACTCACACACACACACACGCAGAGAGAGAGAGAGAGAGAGAGAGAGAGAGAGAGAGAGAAGCAAACCATGTATTGGTTTCCTACAATCTGTTTTTTTATTTTTTTATTTTTTTATTTTAAACAACACGCCCCCACCAGCGTTAGTGCTGCTCATAAGAGCAGACACCACTAACACCTGGGGAGAGGCACCATCATTGTGTTCGTTGTGTTTTCTTTCCTTTTCCTCTCTTTGTTCAACGTGTCCACTAGATGTTTTTTTTTTTTTTTTTTCCCTTTTTTTTTTTTTTTTTTTTTTTTTTTTTTTTTTTTTTTTTTTTTTTTTTTTTTTCAACGTGTCCACTGGCTGAGTCTGGCTGACCTTGAAATTTGTCAAATAGTTTGGCACTACTTAGTTAGAAAGAAGTGTTTTTTGCACTATTAGCCTACTATTAGGGGTCTGGTGTATCTATGCTCTCCATCTTTTCTTTTTTCCTTTTTCTTTTTTCTTTTTTGTCTTGCTTGAACAGATCCTTATGGTCCTGGCTCCATGTCCATTCCGGGGAGAGTCAGTATTGTTCCTTCCCCTTTTCTTTCTTTAAGCATTGTTCCTTTCTACCGGCAAGATGAATGAAAATTACATATAATCGCAAACTCAATGCTTCCTTCCGTCTACGCCGAACTAAGTACTCAAACCTTGAACCAGGATTGAGTACCTCGTCCCATGTTTCAGGTTCGAACCTAGTACCCAGTTTCAGGCTCCCGGTCCCTACCTCGTACCTATAGTCTTTCCCCGAATACAACGTACGGTCATTATAGCTGTATCTAGACTGAAATATGCCTCAAATACAACTATAATGACCGTGCGTTGTATTCGGGGGAAGACTGTAGTTCTAGATTCCAGGTCCTGACACCTAGGTTTAGGTCCAGGAAACTGCCATTTCGTCAAAACGGACATTTTTTATTTTTTGAATGAAATTAAAACTGCATTTTTTTGGACGAAATCAGGTCCAAATTTTTGGCTCCTGGGGGTTCGACGTTCCTAAAATGCCGGATTGAGACCAGATACATCCAGGGGTTCCGGTGTTTTAGGAAATCTGGACCCCAAAGAGCCAAAACATTGGACCTGCTTTCGCCCAAAAAGTGCAGTATTAATTTCGTTCAAAAAATAAAAAAATGTCCGTTTTGATGAAATGGCAGTTAGGAGGTGGTTGCTGGTGCGGAAGCAGTATGCTGTTGATGGGGAGTTGAGAGGACTGAACAGGATAAGGTATCATTTGCTAACCACTAGCATTGGAGGGGTGTTTCAAAAAAAAAATAATAAAAAAAAATTAAAAAAAATCGATATATGCTCTATGATCATGCTCCTGTCCATTTAGCAAAAAGGGAATGGTACATTGTCAAATTGCGTCTATATCATTAAAGGTTGTAACTTGTGAATTGTAATGTAACATCGTGTATTACCAACAAA